CCCCAAAACCCCAAAACCCCAAAACCCCGAAAGCAAGGAAAAGAGATAATTTAAAGAGGGGTAATTAATTGTTTAATTTTACAAATGGAATAAAAACGTAATCACTCATTGGTGCCTGATTATAACAAAATTGTTGAGCAAATGCAAAATAATCTCAATAGAACTTGAGTATCTATGGATATGCCATTTGATAAGATGTTCTAGGGTAAAAACCATAGCAGAAAGCTTACAATTGATTTAAAAAGTAATAGAACGACAACTGCTGCTTCAGCAACAAGGACTAACGAGAAATTCAACTCGAGTCTTCAATCTAAGTTAAACTAGGACTTTAATCAAACAAATACAACTCATAGAACTATAGATTAGAAATAGTATTAGAACTAAACGAATGAAAAGTAAAATTAGTAGAGTGATAAGAAGCCATAAAATTAAAATGCCTAGAAAACATAATCAAACTAAGTAATTATGAATGGATTTTTAGTGACTTTCGATGAAAAAACTGGGCAGTATCAGATGAAAAAACTTGAAGATAAAAATCAAAAAAAGGAACTAAGAGATCGGTACTTCTTTCACTACTAAAACTGGAACACTAAGAAGAAATAGTAACTTAGCTTATCTATGAGAGCAGGCCACAAACCAGGTAAAATGTCCTATGGTTCATTAAACTGGATGGCTGACAATTAGTAATTTCCTGAGGTTGAAAAGATCAAAAGCTGATGCTTCAGAAAAGAGGGAGTCTAAGATTATAGCGAGGACAACGAATTCAATTAGTATAATGAGATTGAAGTCCAAAATAAGGTTCTTAAGAAGCATGTTGACGGAGAAATCTTTATTCCAAGGACTCTTATTGATCCAGGAATTTTATAAGCGCAATCTAAATTAAAGTAAGAATAGCTCTTTCAACAGTAATTAAAGAGCAAAAAACATACTAATGAAGAAGTTTATTTACCTTTACCAAATGAGAGTTAGGAAAGCAAAATTAATAAAAATTTGTTTCAGATTGAAAAGAGACTTGGTCTATCTAAGCCTAATAAATTAAGTATTCTTTAGCAGATGATCAATAGAAACTAGACTAACAACAATATTTAGCTCCTTGAAAGCGAGATACTCAAAAAGAAGAGTGAAAAATAAGCTTCGGATGATTCAATTCAATAGAACAAAGACATAATGTATGGGAGCTTCTCAGGCTAAAATTCACAATACATAAAAATCAAGGATTTTCAAGACAACAGTCAAATAGTTTCAACTGAAAGGAAAAAATAAGCTTAAACATCTTATTTGAGTAAAAGAGTTATGTCCTAAGATAGAGAAAAAACGTAAGGCCACTTAGCTTAGAGCTCAATAGCCAATGATAAAAATAACCTAAATTACCTCTCTAATTCCTCAATTAATCACGAGAACAGCTAATAAGGATTAGAATAAAATTCTAAAAATTAAAATTCGTTGATAATCTCACTGAATGAAACACCAATTCAGCACTATCAAAATGCTGAAATTGAAGCGAATTAAGTTTCTCTTAAGATTCCAAGAAATGTATTCTCTCACTAGTCCTACAGAACTGGTAGAAACCTCTTTTCTGATAAGCATGCAGACTCCAGCACAACTCAATCCAAATGTCACGGTATTAGAAAATCTTAGTTCTTTAGTCCAAAGCAGAAATTAATTGAGAAAATGTTTGAGAATTAAAAGGACGATTATTCACAAAAGGAAAGTATCTCTCAGAATATAAGTTAGTTCAGCCCTAATTAATCATAGCTAAGGAAGTCATAGATAAAAAGTCTTTTATTAGGAATTCTGGATTAAGAAAGCGAGAATTACAATTCCTAGAGGAATACACTTTATGGTGAACTTAATTTATCATCTCCTAATTCAGAATACTTGCCAAAGAGCGATTACAGATACCTTTCTCCAGTTTAAATGCAACAAGAATTTTCATTCGATAGGCAAAGAGAAGAAACAATCGTGGATTAAGTTCTATAGGAGATTAATCAAACTTTGAAGGAAAAAGAACTCAAGAAGAAAAGACAAGAGAGAAAGAAGAATAAAGTAAGGAGAAGTCAAAAAATCTCCTAAGATGATCTGCTTGGAAATTCAATCCTTAACTCTGATGCTTCAGAATCAATGGATGATGAAAAACTACTTAAAGCCGGAAAAAAAGGCTTTACTGGGGGTAAATTTGACCTATACAATAAGTATTTGAATATCTTGCTTTTGAGAAGTGGAGATCCTTATGTATCCCAAATGTTTTCTAAGTATCTATAATTCAAAAGAAAGGGAAAAAGAGATTAAAAATAAAAGAACTTTTATGAAAGAATGCAGAATGATATCATTAAACGTAAAGTTGAAGAGTTTCAGAAATTTAATGAGCCAAAAAAGTTTCTTAATCAACCTAGCAATTTGTAAAGTCTTGATATTTCGAGAGACAGTACTGCAGCTAGATTTTAGAAGAAACCTACTCTAAAATTTAAAAGGAGAAAATCAATGACTGAGGAAAACGTAAAAATGATGGATAATTAAGTAGTTAATGAAGATGAACTTAACTTGTAGCAAATAAAAATTGATGATTAGTTCAAATTTTAGAAAAGAAAAACAATTAACTTTTCTAATAAAGGGTTTTTCAAAGGAATTACTATGAGATTTGATGCCTAACCCAAGAAAAAGGGAATTGATGATCTCTTACAAACTAAGTTCGATGAAATGATAATAGAAGAAGATCTTGATTCTAATTGATAACAGATTAATTTTTTAAATAATAAACTCCTTAAATTAATTATTCTGCTGAGCTCTAGGGGTTTTGGGGTTTTGGGGTTTTGGGG